TAAATCAACAAAAGAAATGCCAACAGATGTCCCAAAACCAACCTACACACCATCATATAGAAGTGAAGGCACAACTCTTCAACCACTGGCCACAGCATCCACAAATGTGTCACCCACATCTGTAACAAGACCAGCAACCAAGGAGGAAGGTAGCAGTACTGATCAGTTTACACAAGAATTTACCAAATCTGCAGCATCTGTGACAACTACGTCAGTAACACCAACTCAGGCCATACAACATATAGCACAATCAACCATGACAGAAAACACTTCACTGGAAACATTTCAGAGTACACCTGAGGGAACACCAGAATCACCAAAAAGTACGGCTATTCTAACAGGATCTAGCACATCAGAAACGGCCCCATCAAAAACAAATGAATGGTATACAACTTCAAATCAGTCTGCTGGATCAACAGATGGTAAAGGTTCCACACCATCATATGGTGAATCAGTGACCAACACAATAACGCAAACTACAACAGCTTCGCTTGCAAAATCACAGGATTTATCAACAATCTTAACTCCGGCAACACAGTCAGAAACTTCAGCAGGAGCTAGACCATCAGAGATAGCCAAATCAGCGGCTTCACCAATGTCAACGTCAGCATCATCTACAACAGAGCCATCCACAGGTGGGAATCAAACCTATGGCTCAACAACAACAACCCGACATACAACACCAACAAACAGTGCAAATGGGACTCCTTCCCAACGTAAAGGAACTGTTGCTAACAAAAATGTAAACAGCTCTGTCACACCCTCACCCTCATTCAGCTCTTTACCATCTACAGTAATGGTTCCAAAATCCACTGCTGTAATAGAGTCGAGTTCGCCTTCACTATTTTCTACAGAGCAATCATCACCAAACACTGCCCAAGCCAACACAACAGGGCCCCAAGTTAACTCTACATCTTTCCCCTCATCTAGGGCCAACACAATATTTTTTAAGTATACACCCAAGATTGCCACTTTGACCCCTCTTATCTTTGATTATCCAATTGTGAACCGCATCAGCTTTCCTGCTTCCAATGATTCAAACCCAGAAGAACAATTGCAGAACAACACAAATCAGGTAAAGAAAAATGCTCAGACCCTTTCTTTTTGACAGACAGTTTCACATCCACCTGCTCTTGATGTTTAGGCAAACCAGCTTCTCACTTTAGCTTTCTATATTTTTTTTTTTATCTATATCTTAAAGACTTTTCCAAAACATCACACTGAAGTGTACTTGCCAGCATAGCAAAGAACTTGCTTTTAAATTTTTAGGGTGTGCGTGTATATTAATATAAGATGCTTTATGAATTCGCTAATACAACTATATTTAAATACAGAGGTGGGTAGTAACGAGTTACATTTACTCCGTTAAATTTACTTGAGTAAGTTTTTGAAAAAAATGTACTTTTAAAGTACCTTTTTTTGCACGATACTTTTTACTTTTACTTGAGTACATTTGTGAAGAAGAAATGGTACTTTTACTCCGCTACATTTGCAAAATTTGACTCGTTACTTTTTTAAAAAAATAAATAGTTTAACACATTAGATAACACGCCACCAGTGGAGTTTCCGGTAACTTTTTTACCAATCAGATGTGGCCATGCAGTCACATGACCAGTTTGAAACTGTGGCGGGCAGAGCGGCCCAAGCGTTTGAAAGTAGTGGACACACGGAAAGAAGAAACAATATAACATGGCAGGGCCAGTCGTCTACGCTAGAGCTGAAGAGGATGGACAGCCTTGGCCTCATAGACAAACAATGTTTCGTTTAAAAGCAGTACAAAAGAACAGCTATGTCTTCAGTGAGAGCCAAAACAAACCAACTTTTCAGCGTGAAAAAACTCAGCTCGTGTAACCTGAGGAAACGGTAAGTTTTCTCTAAATATCTTTTTAGCTGTGGTTAGCTGGATGTCAGTCTTATGTTACAGCAGCTGTGTCGAGCTCGAGCTGTGAGTCATATTTTCGGTGCTACGTTGTAGTGAGGTTTGTGAAGTTTGTGGGTGTTTTGTACAGCTTCGGCTGTCCTTTTAACTGCACGCTGGTTAGCTAGCGTGAGCTATAAGCTAACAGCTAGCCTGGTTAATGACGCTAGAGTTCAACGCGCATGCAAACAGCTCGTCTCTACTGCTTTAACTGTTAAAACAGAAGGCAATACTGCGGGTGACAGGGTTTATTATGTGAAACAGCAGCTTGTTTAGTTTAAACAGTCTGTATTAAGCTTGGCAAACACTGCGATTTTTTTATTCAGCTCCTGCTCAAACTGTACAATTAAATCTCAGGGGTTAAAAGTTCATAGGTCACCATGCAGGGTCTCACACTAGACGGCCTGATGCTCTGATGCGACCTGATTGCTCAAACTGTGCGTCCATAACATGAAGCTTATCATACAAAATCTGTCTCTCGCTCTCCCTCTCTCTGTCTTACAGACACACACACACACCACCACCATCAACTTTGCTAAATTACTAATGAAAAACATTGACCAGGCACCTGTGATTGAGCAGCAATGTCCATCCAACTCTTTTCATGGTTGTTGTAGTCGAGATAATTTTGTGAGGCCACATTGAAAAGCCTTGAATACGGAAGCGTAGAGCTGCCACCCAGGCAAAAGAAAAGCAGAGCTATATCACGTTATAACATGAAAAGTATATTGTTCAAACAATATACCTTTCGCGTTTGAACAATATATTATCATGTTCGTACAATATAAATATTATATTGTACAAACATGAAAAGTATATTGTTGGGGGTTAGGAAAGCCAGAAGCAGGGAAGCTGGAGAGGTATCTTTCATGTCCATTCACTGGAGGTGTGGATCTATTGCATGGCTTTCCTCACATTAAGAAGCTGTCCATCAAAATCAATACAGCTCTTCCTGCATCTGGAGCTTGTGAAGGACTTCTCAGTGATGCAGGACTCCTGTTCACTGCTAAACAGTTACAGCTTCACAGAAAGAACCTTGAGAGCAAACTGCTGCTGAAGCTTAACCATCACCTCATTGAGTGAAGAAATGGCACATTTTTGCATCTATTTCTGCATTTTTGCAGAAATAGATGTACACCCATACAACTTATGGTAAACTGAGCTCCCTTGTATGTACATATGTTGAAGATGCCTCATTCTAATGTTTTCTCTGAGGCAAAAATGAATATAAAGTTTACAGCATATCTTGTCACTGGAAATTGTTTGCACTGTTTATATATTTATATTATTTACTGTAGATATTGGTTAAATAGGCTTTAAAACTGAAATCTGGAAATTAAAATAGTTGTGCCTTATTTTGTTGATGTTTTTACATATATTCCTTTTGAAAATATTAAAATTTGTATATTTATTAATTTTTCTTTGTCTGATAGCATTTATTTAAAAAATAAATCGGACATTTCAAACAGTTACTCGCTACTTGAGTAGTCTCTTCGCCAAGTACTGTTTTACTCTTGAGTAACGTTTTTGACGATTACATTTCACTTTTACTTGAGTAATAATATTTTAAAGTAATGCTACTCTTACTTGAGTACAATTTTTGGATACTCGACCCACCTCTGTTTAAATATTAAAAAAGCCAGCAAGATTTTATTTTTTATGCTGTAATAAATGTTCTTTCTTTTAATTACACTCAGGCAGGCAGCACCTGATTGATAGTCACCTGATGGCCCCCTTGGAGAGCAATAACACAGAAAAAAATGCGTCAGAGACTGTAGCAAAATGTATTGTATCAAGTGACGTAAAAGAAGAAAAAAAATACTTTGCCTTCAGCTTGTCTTGATCCCACATGTCTGTGACAGTGAAAGACCTGGTTTTGCAAGCTGCGTGTTATTTTCATTAGCTCACCTGCCCATTGATGTGAAGCAGAATGTTACATAGATTAGATAGGCTGTAGCTCTGAAATAAATGGTGTACAGCAAGAAGTAACCTGAGTTTCATTTATGCTCTGAATTGTTGTAACAATGATTGTAAAAGTGAGCCAAGCACTGACATGTTCGTGGTGGTTGTGGTGTTTAAGTAAGGTACACTGCACTCCTCTCTTTGTTTGAATTCAAGTTTCCAGGTGTGTTAACGAACATGATGAAAAAAGAACGAAAAAGAATACACATATGTACAAATTGTATATAATTTGTGCTTTTTAGTATGCCAAGCTGTTTTTAAGCTCTTTTCTGTGTATAAATGCTCAACAGTCTTTAATCATAATTAAGTTTAACGCATAATTAGGTGCACCAAAGCAAAAGCACTGGAGCACAGTAGTTGCTATTTTTCAAATTTATCATTATTTAAATTCTCATTGTTATGTATTGTATCTTATCTCTCAGATCTGCTTTTACTATACGAACCCTCGCGGACCCTGAGGTCCTCTGGTGCTGGCCTTTTGATTGTCCCTAAAGTCAGGACACATACTCACGGAGAGGCAGCTTTTCAGTGGTATGGTCCTCGTCTGTGGAACAGCCTGCCGGAGGAGCTCAGGGCCGCAGAGAACGTACATGTTTTTAAGAACAGGCTCAAGACCCACCTTTTTAATTTAGCTTTTACTTAACGTTTATTTATTTTATGCTTATTTATTCTATCCTGTTATTCTATTATTAATTTAGGATTTACCTAATATTTCTTGATTTTATTCTTATTCATTTTTTAATCTTCTTACTCTATTTATATTTATATTTATATTGTATCCTGTTCTTATTTATTTTATCATTTTACCCTGTATACATCGTATTGCGTCATATCTCCAGTGTTTCCTCGGAGGGCGCTCTCTGCACCGGGGCTGTTATTTATAAATGGGTCTCTGGGGTCCTCTCAGCCTGGTTGGGGGGCTCCTTTGCCTCCCTCCGGCTGTGTGCCCAGCTCCGAGGCTGCGGTCTGTGACCGGCTCCCGGTGCAGACTGCTCTCTGTTATAGTGTTTCCTCACTTGGCTCATGCGAGCCCAGCCCAAATTTTACTCTTTAAGTGTGCGCGTGTGTGTATGTATGTGTGTGTGGGTGGGGGTGGGGGGATATATGTGTATTGAGAGTGTGGGGAGTGAGTTGGAGGGTGGGGTGGGCTGCTTTTAACTATGTAAAGCACTTTGTGCTACATTTTTTCTGTATGAAAAGTGCTTTATAAATAAAGATTGATTGATTGATTGATTATTAGTCACCAAAATTCTCTCTCTGGCAGGGTGACATGAGTGACACATCAGTGTCCAATGTGATAGCTTATGTGCTAGTATACCATCAACACTGTCACAAATACAAGAAAACAGCCTTTTAATATCTGTCCACTAAAGTAACCACTATGCTTGAAAGGGTTAAAGCCCATACATCACATATATAACGTGTCCAGCTGCCTCTGTCACACAGAGAGACCTGGTGATTAGCACAGTCTGGACATTACAGTAACAATTTAATCAAAGTGTGCTAAATCTGAATGATAACAGTTTTTCTATATCTAATTAACTATCCTGTGGCCGCCATTTGTTTTGATTTATGACTGCCTGTAAATATTTTGGACTATCAAAATAAAATCTTTGATATAATAAAGACCGTTTAAAATCTGTTTCTTTCTTCCTCTTGGGCTAGCTTTTGTTTCAAACTGCTTACATTTTTCTCCCAGTATTTCTTGCAAAGTTTGAATAGCCATTTTTTATCTTCTGATGGCTCTTCATAGAGCCTGCTAGCTCATATTGACAGATGATTTTCAAAATCTCTTCAAAAATGTGTAATGATCTAAAAGTACTCTAAGCCACCCATGTGTTTGTCAGGAAGATAGCCACTTGTGCATCTGGTTTTCATAACTACTGTGAAAGAACAAAGAAATGAGTGATTTCCAAGGAATGATTTAATTTTAAAATCTATACATTAAATTCCATTCAATTTTATTTATGCCGTCACGGTGGGAAGGAAATTTTCCATTTAACAAGAAGAACGCCCCGGGATAACCAGTCTCAGGCAGGGCAGCCATCTGCCACTACTGGCTAGAGATGTGAGGAGGGAGAGAGGACAAAAGACACTCATATATTTTACACTCAGTAATCATGATTTACTGCTATTGAAAAGATAGCAGTAAAAAGAAAGTAGTTACAATTGAGGAGTTCACTTGAATAGAATGCATAAAGAACCTCACTTAGGTGAAATGTGAACTCAAAATGCAGCTTTATTGCTGTGAAAGGAAAAGGGATACAAAACTGGGAAAAATAACACGAACTATTCTGGGAGCACTAAATACACATTGAAGGACACACACAACTATGAGGGAGATCGCGACATGGGACTGAGGGAGACACTGACATAATTACAGAGAAGGAATCGAGGGAAGTGAGGACACACGGGGGACACAGCTGACACAAATTAACATGACACCACAGGGAAAGCAAAACAAGATACGTGAAACATGGAAATACGAGACAATAAAACAGGAAACTGGGGAATGTGACACAGGAGTGGAGGAGAGGCAGACGAGAGGGAGTGAAGCAACACAAAGGAGCATGAGGGAGAGAGAGAGAGGAGATGAGTTAGACATGACGGACTGGGAAAACTGGATAAACATGGAATAAACCGGAAAGGGAAAACAAGGCACAAGAACTCATACAAACACACAAACAGAGACGCACAGAGGGAGACGCAGAGGGAATAAAATAATCAAGGAACTAAACAGGGACCATAAGAAACTCAAAACTTGATAACCAAACACTATAATATACTAGGCAAATAAACTTAAGACAAGCAAAGAGAACATATACATAGGTCATAATACAAAATTACCAAAAAACAGGAAAACTGAAAACGCTAGGTCAAATGACCCAGGACCATGACACACTCTCATTTTTGTTAAACATCTTTGTTTATACACCTTTCTACATTCAATTATTAGTTATTATTAATCTCTGGCTCTCTTCCATCTTTGTCCTGTCTTCCTCCCAATATTCTTAAGATTCTGGCTCTGACTTTTAGAGCTCTTCATGAACAAGCACCGCCTTACAAT